TTTCTTGAGAGCGAACCATTCCCTTAAAGGAAAGTAGCAACCAACACAGGTTCTGGAAGTGATATTTGTTCTCTTTGCCTTTAAGTCACCCTGTCTGCCACGGGGCCGTCGTAGGTTACTCATTGGCTGCTAACCGCAAGGTCAGCAGTTTGAAACCATCAACTAGCTGCTTCCTGGCAGAAAGGCGAAGCTTTCTACTCCGGTAAAGAGTTATGGTCTTGGAAACCCAGAGGGTCAGTTTTATTCCGTCCTGTTGGGTCACTGTGCATCAGGATCGACTTGATGGCAATGAGTTTGGTTTTGGAGTTCGGCCTACTACGGGTGGAACCATTGTGCTCCACAGGGTTCAAGGGCTGGCTGCCCAGAAGTAGACTGCCAGACCTTTACAAACCCTGGCGCTGGCACTTAGCCACTGTGATAAAAGCAAGTTACTTAACCTCATGTGTCTTTGCCCCAGCAACTGTAACGACAATATATTGTGCCTACCATCTAGGATTGTGATGAGTGTTTACCAAGGTAACTCACAAAAATCACTAGGATTTAAAGGCTTGAAGGTAAACAAGCAGCCATCTAGCTCAGAAGCAACATAGCCTACATGGAAGAAGCACACCAACCTGTGTTATCAAGAGGTGTCGAAGGGATCAGGTATCAGGCATCATCAGAACAAAAAATCATATCATAGTGAATAAGGTGGGCGGGGGCTGCAGAGTGGAGACCCAAAGTCCATCTGTAGGCCACTGGACATCCCCTTACAGAAGGGTCTTGGGGAGGAGACAATCCAGTCAGGGTGCGAGGTAGCAACAATGAAACACACAATTTTCCTCTAGTTCCTAAATGCTTCCTCCCCACCCACTATCATGATCCCAATTCTTACCTTACAAATCTGGCTAGACCAGAGGATGTACATTGGTACAGATAGGAACTGGAAACACAGGGAATCCAGGACAGATGATCCCTTCAGGACCAGTGGTGAGAGTGTCGATACTGGGAGGGTGGAGGGAGGGTGGGTTGGAAAGTGGGGAACCAATTACAAGGATCTACATGTGACCTCCTCCCTGGGGGACAGACAACAGAAAAGTGGTTGAAGGGAAACATCGGACAAGGCAAGATATGACAAAATAATAATTTATAAATTATCAAGGGTTCGTGAAGGAGGGGAAAAATGAGGACCTAATGCCAGGTGCTTAGGTGGAGAGCAAATGTTCTGAGAATGATGAGGGCAATGAATGTACAAATGTGCTTTACACAATTGATGTATGTATGGATTGTGATAAGAGCTGTATGAGCCCCTAATAAAATGATTTAAAAAAATCACTAGGATGCCCGGCATACAGTGAGCACTCACCACTGTCAGCCTTCATTATTAATATTCTGTGAAGGAAAACCCCTTGAGTTTCGAAGACTATCCCTTATTTCATACAACACATATGCCTTGTCTTCCTTAAGCTGAAAGACATTTTTCTGGCTTCTGCTGGTGGATGTTCTGGTCCACCTTTAACCAACACCATTCCTTGCTTTGCGATTCACTCTGTTTCTTGCAAGGCTCTCTGCACTGTTCCTAGTTTGGAAGTGACTGTCTGAGAAGACACAGCGTCTCTGTTGTAAAGGCAATGGGGTTGGCAGGGAGGGTTCAGAGAAGCACAGCAAAGTCTCCAAGAACGTTTCTGCTGAACCTGGAGTCTAAACCAAAACACACTCATCCCAGCCATCCGTGCGGGGTCCACAGGGCTTGTCCCATTCGTGTGAAACCCACTGACTCTTTCCAGAGCAGAGCTCTTACAGATGATCAATTATGGCCCCCTATTCACAAAGAAAGCAAATGCCAACCGTATTTTACCTGTCTGGCCAATGATGTCAACTCCCCTTCCCAGAGTAACTGCTCCTGGCCCGAGCCGTCAATTACCTGTGGAGAACCTCAAGCTACAGGGTACGCATTTCTGAAGAGCTGTGAATGGTAAGTGTCTGCAGCGCTGATGTGTCCATTTGTTTCCAAGTGACCCCTTTCTTCCTTGTTTCTAAGGATCCCCTCTCTCCACCGGTAGATTTAAAGTGTCAGGGGGGAAAAAAATCCTGAGGACTCCACCACTGTAAATGCTACAATCCAGATGGAAGCAGACAGGGGCCTGAGGGAGCGCCTTCCCATGGGCGCCAAGGGCAGCAGGGCAGCTGGAGGTCCCGGTCCCAGTCCAATCTACTCAATCCTACCTAGCTCACCGCCTGGGAAATGCCTCACACCTCGGGCTTGTAACCGTCCCGCTAGCTCACTTTGCAGAAACAATGGCGATGTCTACTTGCTACTTTGTGTAAAGGCACCAGGACAAGCCCCAGCTGGCTGTAACCTCTCACTCGATTCCTACAACGAGCAGGTTCCCACTTACTGCCATCAAGTCCATCCGGACACCCTGGGACCCTACAGGGCAGGGGACAACCTGCCCGGGTGAGGCAGTTCTTTGTAAAGGAAAAGAAAGCCCCGTCTTTCTCCCAAGGAGCTGCTGGGAGTTTTCAACTGCTGACTTTATGGTAAAAAGAGTATACAGTTAAGGTAATCAAGGTTGTCCGCCAAGTAAGTGTGGGAGCCAGGACTTGAACTCTGATGGTGTAAATCCAGAACCCATGTTCCTAAGATGGGAAATTTCTATCAATGGAGCAGTTACCAGAATTGTTTACCTGCACACCAGGCAGCAACCACGCTTGTTCCTAGCCCTACAGAACCCACAAAGAGGTGTGCAATTTCAAATGCTCCTCACGGGTATGTGTCTCAAGCACCGTGTGGCTATGGACAAAAAAAGAAAAGAAACCAGGTGATAGTGCTGGTGCTAGCTCCTTAGGGAGCTCGCAGCCCAAAGGTGAAGACAGTGGGTTTAAACACAATGTGATCCAGGCTCACCCAATACAATCAGTTGTGAAATGGATGGCAGTAGGCTGGGTGTCAGAGTTCAGGGGCTGGGGAGAATTGTGGGAGGTGCCGGGAGGATATCAGCACTCACCCTGGGCAGCAGGGCTGCTAACTGGAAGGTCAGCAGTTCTAAGCAGCAGGCCTCTCTTCCGGAGAAAGATGAGGCTGTCTACTCCTGTAAAGAGTTACAATCTCAGGGACCTACAGGGCAGTTCTACTCGGCAGGATGGTCACTCTGAGTCGACACCGACTTCATGGCAGTGACTTTGAGTGTTATGGTTTCCATCCTACTACTCCAATACCCAAGCCCGAATCCACTAAGAAGGCCCTGCCTGGCAAGCTCTCCTTAGAAATATGCCCCTTAAAAAAGTTCTTGTCCCATTTCACTTACAGATTACATTGCAACCAAGACACACAGCCAACAGTTAGCAGCTCCTGAAAATGTCACACTTGTTGTTTTCACTAATTATGGAGAGACACCAAGTTTTGGGAATGCTAAATGCTCATGGGAAGGTAAAGTGTGTTATTTCTTTGAACTGCAGAATAAAACAGTTTCCTCCCACAAATCAAAACCCCAACCATATCACACTGATTTAATTCAACTCTAAGAACGCTAATTAGTGGTTACATAAAATGGCTAATTATGTCTCCCTCGATTCAGTTTCTGCCCCCCCCCCTTAAAGAGCCTAGAAGCTGCATAATCAAACAGCCCACCCACTAGAAGGAGCACATTAATTAGCATTGTCATCCACAATGTGGGTGACACAAGATATAATATTTTTTCAGGACTCGTGTAAATTTTATAAACATGTCAGTGAAAATGTCAGATTCTTTGCAGCGTGCTACGTTTTGGAATCAGCATCTAAAAATACTTGCCTTTACAACCACAGCTCGGGACAAGGTTTTTTTTTTTTTTTCTTGAAACAAAACGCATGTGCCAGCTCCACAATCATCTCCCTGCTGCTCTCTCAAGCGCTTCCTAGAGGTTAGTGCGGAAGACTCTCCGGCGCAGTTCTAAGCCGCACATATGGGGTCGCCAGAGTGGACGGCAACTAGCCACAAACAACAACCAAACACCTCCTGCGCGCTCACTCCGTCTTCGCGCGGCGTGGGCTTTCTACCTGGTTTGGGTGTGCAACAATTGAGCAAGACTCCCCAGCTCCAAGTCTGCAGGCTCCTTCCCAGGGCCGCCAGGCGCGGCTCCGCCCCACTCCACCACCGACGCGTTTAAATTTTTATAAAGCTTCACCCATCTCAGGGCGCTTTGCTTGGGGCAGTTCAAAGGCGGAAATGAGGTCCTGCCCGCGGTGGAGACGGCCCTGCGTGCAGAGGTCTCCTGCAACGGGGGCGTCCCGGGGCAGGCTAGCCGGACGCCTCAGGCTCCGCCAGGGCATTTTTTGAAAGTAAACTCCTACCTGCCTGTTGCGCTCTCCGATGCGCAACCCGACTCGCACACCCCACCCCTCCCCAGGCCTTCAGAGTCGGATCCATCTGGGAAACGAGGTGTGAACACAGGCCAGCTCTGTCTCGGTTTCTGGCGAAGGGCCATACAGCACCCCCTCCCCCCCGGGAGCGGTCGGTTAACCCGGGTGGAGCCCCGCCGCGAGTGGGGACAACGGTGTGCGCCCTACTCCAGCGGAGCGCAGGGGCTGCCAGATCCCTGAGCCGCAGGGACGATACCGGCGCCCGGGCCCCGGGGGACCGCTCGGCCACTCCCTGCCCGCTGGCCTCCGATCGCGCGATCGCGCCCTCCCGCGGGGCGCACCCCAAAGTCCAGTCCAAGGAGAAGGGGTCGTCCGGTGCGTATCACGGGAATCTCGGGCCGTGGAAACGAGGTGCTTCGAAAAGTGCGGGACAGGAGCAAAAGGGACGCATCACTCTGGGAAGCGAGGAGTGGGGTCCCGGGTGGCGGGAGATGGGGCGCGGTCCGCCTAGGGCGGAGGGGGCCCAGGACGGCGGCGGGCGGGCTGAGAACGCGGACTCTGGGGTCTGGGATGGAGGGGTGGGCGTCCGGCAGAATGGGGGAGCAAGGGCACGCGGGGTCCGGCTGGGGGCGTCTCTGCGAAAGCTCTGCACCCCGCGCCCGGCCTTTCGCGGGACCCACCTCTGCGCCGGCCTTGCAGGCTCCGCGGCCCGGGGTCTCGG